CCACTGCACTCCAGCACGGGCGACAGAGTGAGACTCTGTCTCAAAAACAAAAACAAAAACACAAACAAAAACAAAAAAAACCGTGACCGGGCATGGGGGCTCACGTCTGTAATCCCAGAACTTCACAAGGTCAAGGCGGGAGCATCTCTTATAGCTCAGAGGTTTGAGCCCAGCCTGGGTAACAAGGGAGTAAGTCCATCTCTACTAACATTACGAAAAAAGGCCGGGCGCGGTGGCTCACGCCTGTAATCCCAGCATTTTGGGAGGCCGAGGCGGGCGGATTAGGAGGTCAGGAGATCGAGGCCACCCTGGCTAACACTGTGAAACCGCGTCTCTACTAAAAAATTAGCCAGGCGTGTTGGCAGGGGCCTGTAATCCCAGCTACTCGGGAGGCTGAGGCAGGAGAATGGTGAGAACCCGGGAGGCGGAGCTTGCAGTGAGCTGAGATTGCGCCACTGCACTCCAGCCTGGGCAACAGAGGGAGACTCCATTTCCAAAGGAAAAAAAAAAAAAAAACCTGTATGGTTGGGCGTGGTGGATTACGCATGTAATCCCAGCATTTCGGGAGGCCAGGCGGGGAGGTCATTTGAGGTCGGGAGTTCTCCACCAGCCTGATCAAAATGGTGAAACCCCATCTATCCTAAAAATACAAAACAGGCCTGTAATCCAGCTACTCAGAGGGCTGAGGCAGGAGACTAGCTTGAACCCAGGAGGTGAAGGTTGCAGTGAGCCAAGATTGCGCCACTGCAAGCCAGCTTAAGGGATAGAGCGTGATTTTATCTCAAATAAATAAAAATAAAAATAGACCGGGTTCAATGGCTCACACCTGTAATATCAGCACTTTCGGAGGCTGAGGCAGGTGCATCACGAGGTCAAGAGATCTAGACCATCATGGTCAACATGGTGAAACCCCATCTCTAGTAAAAATACAAAAATTAGCTGGGTGTAGTGGCAGCTACTTGGGAGGATGAAGCAGGAGAATAGCTTGAACCGGAGGTTGCAGTGACCCGAGATCGTGCCACTGAACTCCACTCCGACAAGAGACTGGAGACAACATCTCGAAACAAAACAAAACAACCCTCAAAAGCCAAACCTTAATTTTAAGCTGACCAAAAAAAAAAAAAAACTGGTTTTCACACAAAATTTAGAGAAAAAGGAATTGAGCAGCGGGCTGCGGCCTGGTCCAGGATGACGGACGCACCCGCCCCACCATCTCCCTGTGACCAGACAGAGGCTTAGTGACACTCACAGTGGCTGGCTTCTGAAGGAAGGCATCCGCTTCATCCACGAAGAGCAGGAGGCTGTGAACGAGAGGGAGGCCAAGCACGGCGAGAGTGACACCTGGAGCGGCCCACAGCAGCGCCGGGCTGTGGCGGGAGCAGGCCGAGCGGGCAGATCCCTACAGGGTGCAGCCTCTGCCCCATCGGGAGCCCTAAGTCCTGGGTCTGACAGAAGCACATCAGCCTGGCCTCTGGGCAGCTGACCACAGCCCAGCCTCACAAGGCCCCAGGAAGCCAACGGCACACGGGGGCGACAGACTCTGCCCCGTAGGCTTCCCCCCCACTCGGCCCAGTGCAGCATTGGCGGCCGCTCAGAGTCCACACCAGGGGCAGGATCTTGTAAAGTGAAAGGTCAAAGGCCAGAGGGGAGGGTGCCAGCCATGAGGAACGTGGTGCTAGCGGGGACAGCTGAGGCCGCAAGGGTGCCCTGGCTGTGCGCTGCGTGGGGTCACTGTGGGACCTATTAAAGGGTGTGTGCCATACTGTCTGCGGCTGACTTCCAAATGGAACTCCAAAAGGAGCCGGTGCCCACGAGGCGCCCCTGCAGCTGTGAAGACCCCTCTGCCCCTACACCCACCCACCTCCCTTCAGCCCTGAGCCAAGTATCCCACTGGCAGCCTCCACACGCTGGGGGCCTCGTGTCCACCAGGGTCCAGTCTCAGAGGACCTTCCCTCCGAGGGACCCTCCGCCCGGCCTCCTGCATGGCCACAAGGACAGAGCTGCAGAAAGACCACGAGGTCCCGGAAAGCCACCTGGACCCCCTTCCCCGAAGGCAGCCTGCTGGGCCGCAGTGAAGGGCCTGTGTGCATGCTATGGGGACGTCTCACCCGCGCCGGCTGGTATTGGCCCAGTCAAACAGCTTGTGCATGGCGGTCACGCCTTCCCGCCCCATGGGGGCCACGTCCCCGCCTGTCATGATGGTGTAGTCCATGCCCGAGTTCAGGGCGAGATTCTACACGGGAAGCGTGAAGGGAGACAGAACAGATGTTCCCTCTGCCTCTGCAAAGCCTACACACTCCACCCGGTGTGCGGAGCCCCTGTCAGGCGTCCCTGCCTGGAAGCCACAGCCTGCCAAACAGGAGACGTCCCCTGCCTGGAAGATGGGAGGCGCTCTTACCCACACCAGCACGCTGACCCTACATGAGGGTGGCCAAAGGACTAAGGAGAGTCCATTCCCCAGGTGACTGAGCCCCCCATGCACCTGCAGGCAGGTGAGACCCCAGCGGCCCCTGGCCCACCTGCGCAGCCAGGTGCTCTCACCTTGGCAACGAGCGCCTTCCCGGTGCCTGGCGGCCCGTACATCAGGATGTTCCTGTACAGGCCACGGTTCTTCTGTGTGTTCCTTGTTCCTATGGCCATGTCACGCACCTGCGCTTCCAGGCTGGGCTGCCGGGGAAGACGGGGGCTTGGGGGACACACCCTGCACCCACGGAAGCCTCAGGGACAGGGGCTGCAGCAATGCCCTGTTGTGGACTCCACTCCTCGGGGTGCCGCCCAGCTCACGGACAGCCTATCCCCGGCACGGTCCAAGCAGTCGCATCTCAGAAGCCAAAAGCTCCTGGGTGACACCACGAGTGCCAGCAAGGGCCACAGCACGGTCCAGCTCCCGGGACCCCTCCCCGCACCTCCCCGGTCCCAGGCACACCGACTTACACTCAGCACAACACCCTCCAGCACGTCCTGGGGCCGACTGAGGAGCCGCCGGCTCACCTGCTGGAGGGGAAGGGGAAGCGCCATTGGGTCACCTGCCACAGCCACGGCACAGCCACCAACGCACAGACAAACTCAGTAACACACCGAAACGGAGCTGCCCCAAAGCACAGCCAGGACTGGCCAGGACCTGGAACCCCGCCGCGCTGGGAGACTGGGTGACTGTTGCTGGGATTGGGGGCATTTTCCGGTTCCTTATTGGCTTTTATTTCGTTAACCACCCACCGAGTGACCTGTGGAGACCCACCACCCCCGTGTGGAGA